CAGTCTGGGCGCGGGACTGGTGTCCCTCATGTCTGTCCTTCTCAGACCCCAATATCCCGAGCTGAAGGCCTATGCATTTGAACCACCTGGTGCGCTAATGAAGTAAGTCTTAAATAGCTGTTTATAAAATGACCTTAGGACAATCGCTTGGTCTTGAGCAAGAGATAGGGAGAAATATCCTTTATTTTGAAGGTAAATATCCCAAACTTTTAGGAAAAATTGACTAAGAACAAGGGATAAGGTAGGGTAAAAGGTCATAGAATACTCAAAGTCTAAAGGTTTACATGATACCCGCGTCCGACTTCAACTTCTGAATTTCCATTTCTTCACATGTGAAGTAGCGTGCTGGGAAGGGGAGTATATAGTGTTGATATGCCGATGTATGGCGCGATATATGAATGAAGCTTCGAGGCATAGTACGGGAAGACTTCGCAGCCATTAATTCAGAGTGGAGAGGATGAGCGACGTTACTAAGAATGTGTTCAGAATATTGCCTGACCATTTTAAAGTGTTGCTGTATTATAATATCAGCTAAAAAGCATGGGAGACACCGGCAGCTGAAGAGAGCATTCAGAGGATACGTTTAGAACTGACTGGGTCTTTTTTAAGTAAGGCTTGAAAAAATAACTGGTGGGCAGTAAAGGATGAGGGGGAGAATGCAGGCATCTATAAATTGCCAGACTAGGGCTTGGGGTGTGCGCTATGAACGCAAACGGTGGGTATAATATGAAAGTTTACGAAATTTAATAAAACAACGCCTTCAATTTAAAAAAAGATGAGGGGTTAGATGCCAGAGTAACGCCAAGGTAACGGAAAGAGGATGCCTCATTGTACATAACGTATATGGATTCAGGACTGAGGAGATGGTCGCAATCGAAAAACAGACTAGACTGAATTCTGATCATTTAGTAGAAGGCCCTTGTCTAAAAACCAAGCTTAGATGTAGTTAAGGCCATCTTTCAGTACTCATAGATGTATCAGACTTTTGAGAGGACGGTCACCAACAATATCATCAGTATATTTAACAAACAATCACTCATTTGGCAATCGTATGTAGTCAGTGTGGAGGGAGAAGAGGTGAGGAGGTATTATAGCTCCTTGAAGAACTCCACAGTTGTTGGAAAAAACAGTGAATTTTCGCTTGCCATTATGAAAGACTTGAGTGTTTGAAGTGAAATAGTCCCCAAGCCGAGAGACAGCCCAGCCGGCGGTAGGATGACTTGCGTGCTGAACGGTTTAAGCCTCCTGACCGGCATAATAACCGTTAGCAGTGACAGGACTTCACTTTAGAATGGGTACCAGCATATTGGAAGTCTGCCAGTGTGTAAGGTCAAAGCTCAAACAATGTCTAAGACGTTAGCTTTCTTTAGCTGGATGGACGGAACAAAATAACTTATGAGACGGAGAAAAAAGACATTTTAAAGCTGCGGCTAGACGATTCAAGAAAGCGTAATACTTTCTTAATGGTATTGCCGTTATGACGGTGTGATCGACGCTCAACGACTCGGTTTATGCCGATGGATACTCTGTCAAGGGTAATCTTGCCTGAAGGCTGTTGAAACACGTGGCGTTAGTGACGTCAATCGCAGTTAAAAACCAGCCCGCTTCTGTGCTCTAGCCCACAATACATGTCGTGTCTTGCTCTAGCTGTACTCATAAAGGCTGTTTTGATGAGGGTGTATTGAGCAAACGGGTTTTCGAGATTGATCAACGTAGGGATTCCTTTCACCGCGGTTGCATAACGCCGACGAAAGGATAACTCACGTGACTGCCTAAACAGGACGCGGCAAAAGAAACACCCACAATACGTGGGTCTTGGATGAAGGTGAGGGTTGTGGTTAGGTCTAGGGTTACGCTTAAGGTTGGGATCAGGATTATCTTAAGGGTTAACGCTTACGTTCGTTTTAACCACGGGCTTTGCGTCCAGGGTAGAACTAGAATTAAGATTCGGTTACCTTACCTTTTTAAATTAGGGTTAATGTTAAGGAACATATACTCTTCCGGAAATGTATCGCAAGGCTACCAAGTTTAAGTAGGCGGTACGGTCCTAATCCCATGTTCTGTTTAGGCTGCCATCCAAGTCATCTTTATCCGCACACATTTGTTGTCCTGACGTTTCGAACGCAGCCAAACTTGAATCTCCAGAGGTGATTGTCGTTGATTAGCGATGACGACAATACTAAAACACTGTTATAAAATTTTAAGATTGCGTATACAGCAGAATTTAATGGAACCATAAATGTTGCGAGTGCTCATCAGCTGCGTACTCTCGCTGCATAAAGTGAGTAACGAATGACAGAATGCAACAATTGAATTTATACCGAAGAGGTCATAGAAACAAGTCAGGAAGGTCAATTAGTTAATTGAGCTAATTAATCTAATTAGTAAAGTTAGTAAGTGAAGCATTGTGGACAATGAGATAGGGGGAAAACGTTAAAGCAAGAATGCGGGCAGGGGGAGGTGTGAATCAGGGAGCCAGATGTTACCAGGGCAACGCAAGGTTCACAACAAGCTCCAGCTATTTACATAGGTCGGGTTTTGACCATCGTATGGAAGCTGCCTCCGGGTAACGCAATGTACGAGTTGTTCGTGCCAGAACAAGTACTCGGAAGGAAGTTTTGGCGTCTAAAGATTGGTCCGTATCCAACAGGCATTCAGTAATGGAAGAACGGGGAGTCCTATCCTCCTGTTTTAATAGCCAACTCGGCAAGTGCTCCTTAGCTCTGGCTGCCAAT